GCTCCAAACAAGCTATAACAAAGGTTTAAGACAAGGATCCTCTCAAACAAACCCAAAGGATGATGCTTTATGCTCTCATAGCTCAAAACTAACCTAGATCCGAAGTTGCAACCTCAGATCTAGCCTCTAAACCCGAAATGGATCTCAAACAAGCTAAGGAACCCCAAATCAACCACCATAGATGAATCTAAAAAGGAAATAGCTTAGGATAAAGGCCTCTTACCTCTGAGATGTGCCCAAACTAATGTAGATTCTAGATCTACACAAGCCCCTTGATGCTAGCCTCTAATTCCTCAAGCTTCTTACACCAAAATCTTCTTCCAAGCTCCAATCTCCTCAATCAATGGTGTTTCACATGAACTAGGGTTTGCTGGAACTCTCAGGAAGGTTAGGGGGCGAAATGAGGACATAAAGTCCTTTAAATAGGGTGCAAACCCTTTAATTTAGGGTTTCTCTTCCCAGCACCGACTCGTCGAGTCCAGCTGCCGACTCGGCGAGTCGGGTCACTTATCACGTGCCCAGCACCCGCTCCGACTCGACGAGTTAAGGCTTCTACTCGCCGAGTCTACTCTTTATTTACACAAGGCACCCCTGAACTCTAGCTTCTGAACCTGGGATGTTACATATCAATATTTGGTGATTATCCTTGCCAAAATAGAAGATAATTGTCAAAATTTAGATAATCATTTGTTTTATTAGATAAAGGTTGATTATTTGTAATTTAGATTTGAATTATCTTGTGAAAATAAAATCAAAGGTCAAATTAGATAATCATAAATTAATTGTTTAATTTTAATTTATTTGCAAATTGATCTTGTGTGTTTTGAATAGTTTCAAAACTTGCCCTCAAGTTTTAGAATTTAAAATTTTGAGTAAAAGTTTAATTTTAAAAGATTTGAATTCTAAACCCAAATGTTTTGATAAAGTTCAAAACTTGTCCTCAAGTTTTGGAATTTAATTTTTGATTAATAGTTTAATTATGTAAATATTTAAATTCTAAAACCCTAGTATTTTTTTTTGAAAAAGTTCAAATTACACCCTTATGGTTTTATTAATTAATTAAGGTGTATAATTAAAAGAGATTTAATAAACCCATAAAGTTTTGGTTTACATTTAAATAAATTAAAAGTGTAATTTATTAAATTAGACCACCTAATATTTAAATAAATTACATCCTTATGGTTTGCATGTACACCATAGGAATGATGTAGAGCTCAAAATCCATTAATCACGTCGTGCTCTTCCTGTACTGTCAAAAAGACCTACAATAGTTAAACTTAAAACCACAAGTATAAAGCTTAGTGAGTTTTGAATATACCACATTCCAAACATAATGTAACAGGTCTGTTTCAACCCAAGTGAATATATTAGCCAAATCATAGTCTTACAATCACTTCCTTCTATGGCCAAATCATGGTATTTCTTGCTATGGGACAAATCATAGTTTTTCATACAAATGTCACAGGCCAAATCGTGATCTTTCATACAACATCCATGAAAGAGTCATAAAGACAACAAGAATCAAACATCCTACATAGTATTGTGAGAAAACTCACATAAACTAAATAGTAGAAACTCAATAGAAACCTCAACAATAGAACAACTAAACCAAGCCACCTAATTCCAAACCAAGATTGGTCTTTAGATAAATACTCTATTCTACCAAAGTTTGACCAAAAAGTCAACGGTTGACGCACTGTGTCGTGGCCAACCCAATGACCACGTCATGGAAACAAGGAGACATAAATAGACCCAGTTGAAACCTGCCACCACGTCGCGACCCACTAGTCATCGCGTCGTGCTTAAACAACTTAGTAGATTAAACACTTATTCCTTAACCTCCAGAGCTCAAAACAGGGGTGTAGTCAATATAGGGCAAGAGTGGGCCTTGGCTCACCCACACAAATTTAAGGTTACATATATATTATGTACAATATATATATTTGTTAAATAAAAGGAATTAGGGTTGTGATATGGTATATTCCATTTAAAACTTGAAATTTATAGAAGAGAATACATTGTTGTCTATGTTAATTAGACTCAGTTTTATATTATTTTAATAATGTAAGGCAACACTGTGTGCAACTTAAAATAAAAAATTCAGTTAAGAATGCATATATAGTTACATTTTGTTATCGTTTGAAGAATTTTGCCACTTGCTCATATTTTGTATATTATTTGGCCTACCCTAAAACAAAATTCTGGCTACGCCACTGGCTCAGAAGCTCAAATCTAATTCTTCTAAGGGTCTTAATGGATAAAGTTTCCAACTTTATCCATTAGGACATCACAATAATCCAATATCTAAAATCCTAGGTCCATAAATGTCCCAAAACTCACTTCTCTTCCAGCATGGACATGGACTAAAGAGAGCTCATGCATGTTCTCTAAACTTGACCAAAATGTCAGATCTGAAATCCATTATGAATCTAAGATCATGAAGTTATTCATACTCCGAAGATCAAACCATTAAAGGGACCAAAACACCATTATGTCATAAATCCAAATATGAAATACAATAAATCTTGGAACTTTAGAAATCTTCAGTTTCTAAGATTCAAGGATCAATCTTGCATGAATGCATCACTCCAAAACCATAAAAATACTCAAAAACAGATGAGAGGGGAGGGGAGATGCTCAAACTATGAAGAATGAGGCTAGGGTTTTCTCCCAAGGGCTCTAGATGTGATGGAGGCTGAGAAAATGACCTAAAACACAGAACAATTCCTTTAAATACTGTGAAAAACCTAAATTTATGGGTTTGGCTGCCCAACCACTACGCCGCGGTGGCTTTCCCACCGTGTCGTAATTACGGGCTTTTGCTGATTCCTTCCAACTTTAAAAGATCATAAGTTCCTTATTTCAAATCCATTTTTGGTGATCTTTATATGCACACGAAGGTATTAACAAGCCCCACAGTTCTATCTGACTACTTTTGACTTAAGGCATACTGAAGTTAATTCATAAACACATGCAAAAGTCTCAAAATATTACTTTTTCCCATATTACCCTTTTTGGCTCGAAAACACAATTTAAGGGCTTAAATAACTTAACCAATTTTATCAACATCTAATAAGATCTAAAATTTTATTCCCTTGAAGCCTAAGACCTTTACTCCATCAAATTACGGTCCGCTATTTCAAAATTAGAAACATCACAAAAGTATATGTTACATGAGCCCTTCACCAAAGCACCTTGTAAACAACTTGATCTTCAAGCTTCACACCAAAAAATGAGACATAAGCCTTCAATGGAGATCACAATCTCAAAATAAGGGAGAGAGGGTTATGGTTTCTTTAGGGTCCATCTAAGGGTGAAGGATGGTGAATGAGCCAACCCTAGAGGCTTAAGTGCCTTTAAATGCCAATTAAACCCTAAAAACATGATGAACCCATCGGCCTGAGCTCACCATGACCATACAGGAGCGCCCCGTGCTCATTGGGCCAAAACGGGCCGAATTCCATTTAAATGTCCAGTCATTTTAAGGACCAAAACAATAATCCAAATAAAAGGTACATACCAGGAAATAGGATGTTACATATTTCTTCCCGAAAGACAACTCATAATACCCAATCTCAAAAACCATTTCTTATACATCGCTTCAAGGGCCTTTGATAACTTTGTCGCAAAAAAACATAATGTAGAAGTAAAGGATCCCCATAACATAAATTTTGGAACATAGTCTCGCAAGCTGGTCTGTCTTTGAGTTTTGCAAGAATAGCGAAACCGAGTTTGGGTTTGCAAATCAGTGTAATTGATGTATCAAAAATCTGGCCGTGCTACAAATATAAAACAAGTTAAAACCGTATTCCGAAACAAAAAACGATGAACATTCTGGACATGTTCTTTGCATTCCGGAGTACTCTTCGTGTTCCGGACAAGTTCATCGCATTCCAGAATGGTTTGTTTGTTTATTTGTTTTTTTTTAATACTAATTTATGACGTATAATACCCTAATATACATAATTAAACTAGTTTTATGTTGTTCCTAATGTAATGTCAACATGTAATGCTACCCCGGAACGAGTTTTGTGCATTCCGGAGATGTTTTTCGTATTTCGGACTAACTTACTAACAATAAAAATCTTTAAATCAAACTACTAAAATTGTGTTACATATCTTAAATCTGAAATGTGCACTAGTGGCCGGAATGAGTAGAGTGCATTTGTAAATTGAGATCTGGAATGTGTTAGAATATAATCCGAAAAATAATTTTCAAAATCGAACTCCTAAATAAACCGTTTTGGTTTGGAATGGACATTCCGGAGTTTTTTGATGTGCAGGTCTAGTTACTTACTCCGAAATGGACTCCAAAATGGCTCATCCCAGAAACAATGATTATTTTACAAAAAAAAATAATAATAATAATAGTAATAATAATAATAATAATAATAAACACACCAAAGACCAAGGAGTGATTAAATTATTGAATTTCCCTAATATAAAAGACAAAAAGAAAGAGGTAATACGGGCACATAAAAACATTTAACAAAACGCGACTAATAATAACCGTCTTAGGGACTAAGAGGGTGTTTGGTTTGTCTTTTTTTAGAGACAAAAGTCTTTTTTGGAAAAGTTACAAAAAGGCAGGATTTCCTAACTTTTCCAAAAAGTCATTTTTCCTTATATATCCAAAATCCAAAAGTAGTTTTTAAATATTTTTACCAAACATCTTTTACCTTTCAACTTTTCCAAAAATGACTTTTGCCTCTTAAAAAAACAAGTCAAACACCCCTAAAACTGATAAATTTCTGAATCATTATTACATCGACGATGTCGAATAATTTCTGAAACTAGAACCACACTTAAAAATGTATACCACAGGGCCAAAACTGTAATTTACTCTATATTCAATAATAGATTCACTCTCTATTTTTTTGGTATGGAGAGTGCAACTTTAATTAAGGGAAAATGTGAACCATCATCAATTCTCTCTCTCCCCGCTCTCTTTCTCTCTCTATATCCAAACAAATACATACAACTTCCTGTAAGTATATATACACATTTAAACGTTTATAATCCCAAGCTTCCACTTTTTTTCTTTCCCAAAACCTCTACGATAAAAGTCGATAAAGCTAACGTTTTTCTACCTGATTCTAGCATTTGCGTACATACCCACATAAATCTATAGACATTCTTATTGTTTTGACAAATTTATTCGTACAAAAGTAATTTGCGTGGGTTTTACTTGATTAAGAAACGCCGGCAAAGACCGGCATGAAGTTCCTGATCATTTTGTTGGTAGCGGCCGCAGCTGCCTCAGCGGTGAACGGCGGTGTCGGTGGGTTTTCATCCAGGGTTCTGACTTTGGAAAGGGCGTTTCCGGCGAACAAGACGGTTGAGCTTGAAGTCCTCATAACACGAGACCGCGTGAGACACGCCCGAATCTTGCAACGCTTCTCCGGCGGCATTGTCGACTTCAACGTCGTCGGCACCTCCGATCCTTACTACGGCGGGTAATTTAGTAATTATAATTTCATCAAAAACCCACAAAATTTTCTGTGTTTTTCTCTCATCTGCTGAATTTTTGTGGTTAATCTTTACAAAATGACTTCAATTCTATAATTTCTACACCCACCAAGTTTCAATTCTTCGTTCATATCTTTTTTTAGAAAATCTCAAGGGTCTGATTTAAATATTCATTATTGTCGGTGACCATGTTCTTTATGTATAAGGTGGTCTTGTTTGTCTGGAATTTCTTTTACAGGGTTATCTTTTTTTTATATTTTCTGGTATGACAATGAGTTTCCATAGATTCTTGGGTGTCTTATAAACTCTGTATTTCCTAATCATACTTTTAAAGAAACTTAAAATAGTATTAGATTATGACAGATATTAAACAACAAAAAATCTGTTACTGATTTATCATCTAATTTGTAGGCTGTATTTTACTAAAGTGAAATTGGGTTCTCCACCACAAGAGTTCAATGTTCAAATCGACACAGGAAGCGACATATTATGGGTTACATGCAATTCATGTAGCGATTGTCCTCAATCAAGTGGATTCGGTGTATGCTTCTTTAAATTCGATCAAATTAAATAAATCCCATATCTAATTTCACAATAAAAATCTTTCCTTTCTTGTTTATTGTTCGTTTTTTAGGTTCCACTAAATTTCTTTGATGCTGGAAGCTCATCAACGGCTTCTACAGTATCATGTTCAGACTCAATTTGCTCTTCTATAGTTCAAACTTCAGATGCTTCATGTTCTGATCAAACTAATGAATGTGGATATAGCTTTCAATATGGAGATGGAAGTGGAACATCTGGTCATTATGTAACCGATTTGTTGTTCTTTGACACAATTGTGGGCCCCTCCATAGTTGCTAACTCTTCAGCTTCCATTACATTCGGGTAAGTTTCTTGTCACTTCTCTACAAGTTTTCTTTCATTACAATATTTATGGTTAAAATGACTGAATTGGTAATGATGTGTGTCTAAATGACCATTTTACCCTTACATTTCAAAAAATCAGGTTTCAGAATATTCATTAATTTTAACTTGAGATAAGTGGAGAGGAAAAAAGAAGTTGTATACATAAGGCGTGTTTCTTTTCTAGACTGAATAAACCGTCTGAATGAGACTAAATGACCATTTTACCCTTACATTCCAAAAAAACATATTTCAAAATATTCATCAATTTTAACATGTGAGAGAAGTGGAGAAGAAAAAAAAAAGTTTTTGCTTTCGTTACAAATGTATGAATTGGTAATGATGTGTGTCTGAATGCGACTAAATGACCATTTTACCCTTACATTCCAAAAACCAAATTTCACAATACTCATCAATTAAGTAAGAAAACTTTTCAAAAAGAAACAACCCCATAATCAAATAATCTTGCTTAATTATGCAAACCATGTTTTTGAGAGAAGTTTATATGTTTTCTAATGATTCTATATGTGCTAAATGGTGTTTGGCAATAGGTGTAGCACCTATCAATCAGGTAGCTTAACTAAACCAGATAAAGCAATCGATGGAATTTTTGGATTTGGGCAAAATGGTCTTTCTATCATGTCACAATTATCTTCAAGAGGAATTACTCCAAAAGTCTTTTCACATTGCTTAAAGGGAGATGGATTGGGTGGTGGAAAGCTTGTTCTTGGTGAGATTTTGGCCCCGACTATGGTTTATAGTCCCCTTGTCCCATCACAGTACGTGTTATTGAAGGGTATTTTAGGAAATATCAAATTTTGCAACTTTTATTTTTGATTATACAATCAGAAAGAAACCACAAGAGAAGCGTAATTGTTAATTTCTTATCTTGTAATCTTATATTATCTTGATATTTCAGGCCTCATTACAATCTTGATCTACAAAGCATTTCGGTCAACGGTCAAATGTTGACCATTGACCCAACTGCTTTTGCCACATCAGATAACCATGGAACCATTGTTGATACAGGAACAACTTTGACTTACCTTGTTGCAGAAGCATTTGACCCTTTTGTCAATTCTGTAAGCTTTGACTTTTTCTTAAAATTTCTCAAATCAAAAAAAGCATTTGATTCTTGTGTTAAGTGTTTGTGTTTGTTTTTTCATCTTGAATTGAAGATAACTGCTGTTGTTTCACAATTAACAACACCTGTCATCTCAAAGGGCACTCAATGTTATTTAGTTACATCAAGGTACCTCCAAAAATGTCTGTTTTATCCTTTTTGACCTTTTGATCTTTTCATTTCATTTCAAGAACATTTAACTCATCTTTTTTTTTTTTTTAACTTATAAACAGCATAAATGGGATTTTTCCGGAAGTTTCCTTAAACTTTGCTGGTGGTGCTTCCATGATTCTTAAACCTGAGAACTACCTTGTACATGGGGATCCTGTTGTGAGTGTTCTTTAATTGTCTCAAAATTTACATTTTTTATAGAGTAAATTACACGAATGGTCCCTATGGTTTAGGGTAATTTGCACGTTTGGTCCCTAACTTATTTTTTTCACTCGGAAGGTCCCTAATGTTTGTTTTTGTTACGCGTTTGGTCCCTAACTTATTTTTTTCACTCGGAAGGTCCCTAATGTTTGTTTTTGTTACGCGTTTGGTCCCTGTCTTACCTAAAAAGACTATTTTGCCCTTGATTTTTTAATTTGTTTAAATAAACACACCCCCAACCCCACCCCCTCACCTTACCTTACCTACCCCACCATTTTTCCCTATTTAAATAATAGTCTTTTTAGGTAAGACAAGGACCAAGCGCGTAACGAAAACAAACAGTAGGGACTTTTCGCGTTAAAAAATAAGTTAGGGACCAAACGTGCAAATTACCCTAAACCATAGGGACCATTCGTGTAACAAAAAGTTTGACTTTTTTCATGTGTGGTTTCATAGGATGGAGGTACACCATGGTGCATTGGCTTTCAGAGAGTCCAGAATGGGGTGTCAATTCTTGGAGGTTAGTAAATGACAATTTTACCCTCAAGACTCCACTTATTGTTTTGACTTCTTGTATAAAGGTTTTAGTTTTCTGTTTATGACTCATTGAATACGTTTTTGCTGCAGATCTTGTTCTTAAAGATAAGATATTTGTGTATGATTTATCAAAGAAACGAATTGGATGGACTGATTATGATTGTAAGCATGATCTTGTTTCTCCCTTTTGTTGTTTTTTTTTCTTTCAGATATTATCGAATCATTTCTTAGTGTCTTCTTGGTATCCTTTTCATCAGGTTCAAGTGATGTAAATGTCTCAATAACTTCAAGTAAAGATGAATTTAGAAATGCAGGAGAGTTGAATGAGAACACTTCATCAAGAACCACAAGTGTTCTTCAAGTTCTACTGTTGTTCCATATACTATCAATGACACTTGGATCTTTACTCTGGTAGAAACCGATAGTTAATTACCATATAAAGTTATTCGACTGTTTTCAATCATTGTGCTTGTTTTTTTTTTCGTTGCAAATTGATCTTTATTCTGGTAGAAACGCAAAAAAGAACATTACATTTTGCAAGATTGATCGGTCTTTAACAAATTGTGAAAATGTAAATGAAAAAAAGATAAGGCTTTTTGGCACTTTTTGTTCATAATTGTTCATTCTTGCAAGATAGAATATTTTTTTTTGTAATTTCTTAAAGAAAATGATTTATTTACAAAGAGAAGTCAAGTACAATGGTTTAAAGAGGTGATGGACACTATGCTGATAATGGAAAGAAAGATGAAAACCATGACCTTGTTTGGAAAGTAAGCTTAGGCTCTTTTAGCTTTGAGTTAAGGAGGCGTAATTGTTTTATGTAGTTTTTAGAATTTGATGTTAAAAGATGTAGTTTCAATATTAGTGTGAAATGTAGCCTTGATGATGCAAAAAATCATGAATTGTCTGTTTTGGTGTGCATGCTAAAGGATTGGTTTGTCTTGTGCTAGATTTGTTTAGCGTTAATGTTTCTTCTTGAAGGATAATTGGACATGTAACCTTTAAGATATTGTTTGAAACTATTGTATAATATCAAAGTTAAATAGCGATTTTTTAGTTAGAGTCGTGTTTTGGACCTGTGTCTTTTCACTATATATGTGTATACAAAAAAGAGACTAAATGTGCATAATAGTCATAGTTTATTACCCTATAAAATCATTATCCTGAAACTTATTTTAAAGAATAGTTTTAAAAGTTATATGCAACCATATAACGATACCATGTTAAGAAAAAACCTTTTTTTCTTTAAACCTTTCGGACATTCAGGGAAATTTTAACGAATTTGAGGAATTTTTTAGGAAAGAAAAGTTGTATATTATTAGAAGATTAACCACAGACCTGATAAATGAACCTGATCATGTGAACTTCGTAAATTTATTGGGTCTTTGTTTCAATTTATTCACGGAATTAGCATCATTTTTTAAATAGCTCGACTTCTGATTGCATCAGATTTCTCATGTTTTCTTTTATGTCTCTCAGATTCTTCCTCTATGGTGATAATTAAGATCAAGGTTTATGTTCATTTGTAGGGCATCAATTGGGTTAGAATTTGCTTGAAAGAATTTCGTTATACCTTAGCAGGCACCTATCATCACTTGGTTTTCCTCGAATTACATAACTTTTAAGGTATATTGTGCCATCAAATCATCACAATTGCTTAAATATAAACAATTTTGATGATATTACACCATTCCCTTTCTACTTGAACTATTACAAATATTGTGTTTCTCATATGTTGAAACTCAATGAGCAATTGCAATAATTACATATTAGATGCTTGATTATCTGCGTATAAACTGTTTGGCAAATTGCCTCAATGAGATGTTGTTTGTTTATTGCACATTTTTCATTGTAACTACCAAGACCCAAATTTTATGGAACTCATAAATAATATATAAATTTTTCTTTGTTACCTCATATCATTAGCTATTTACCTAATTTTTTCACTCGACCTTCTTCCAAAGAGAAGCTGATGAAAATGGTAATTCAGGTGGCATTCATATAAATGTCCCTTTTAATCACTAAGCAGTTTAGAGATAAAATCATTTTATCATATTCAATCATGTAAGTTCTTTCTTTATTTATAACTTTTGTCTATTTTAGGTGTCTACATTAACATATCTCATTTTACATATTGTTATCAATTTTATATATCAGTATTATTCTTTTGTAGGGACAAATATAAAGATAGGGGCAATTACCTCAACCTCATACTATCTCCTTCTCCCTTGTGGCGATTTGCTGATTGTTTAAGTCAAATAGGTATAAAGATTTTGGAATTAATTTTAAATATCATAGCATGCTTCCTTTTTTAGGAAAGTAGTCTGAGGACTTGCTCCATTGTGATGATAATGCTTTCTTGAAGAAGTTGAAATCTGTGACTCTCGGGACTAATATGGATTCCATATTTTGACCTAGGTTATAAACATTCCTCAGAAATTCACAGAAAAAAATTATTTTTTATTTTGTAAATTTGGGCAATCTTGATGTTTGTAACACTTTTTGTTGTTTGCTTTGACTTTGACTAGGTTCATGCTCATTTCAACTTTGGACCTTTGTGTGCATCGACAAATTTCTTGCTGTATATGAATTCCATGTAAGTTTACTATTCATTTTCATCATGGTTTATGATTCAACACCAAGTTATTTAATTTTGTTAGAAATCTTTAAAACCTCAATTCAATGTGCATTGATTATACCGAATATAAATGCAATCTTGTATATGCTATTTAATGAAAAAAAAAAAAGACAAAGCTCGGATGATGCAATTGCTCGCACTAGCATGTTTATCGCTTGCTTCGAATGATGATCTATGTATTCTCTTCGGTTTCAATTTTTTAGTAATGTATTGTAAATATCCACGTTGAATCTATTGATTTCTAATTTACATATGATTTTGATTTTCTCATTTTCATCACCAGGATTTCATTCCATTCTTCATCTAAACCTTACGGTGATATGATGTTTCCCAGTTAAGGAATTTGTAAATCTACTCTATTCCATTACCCTAATTGGTTGATTAGTTCTCCCTTTCATTTTCAGATCAAAAAGATCATGGTGAACCTTCTATCGAAAGTATTTCATTAACTCTTCTTTCCCTATATTAGTTATTGAAAATGATTTTTATATTCACTTGGTATAATAAAGGTTTGCCGGGATCGGGTAACCAATACAAAATGGGAAAATGACTTATGAAGGTAACTAACTATTTCGATTGTCCACATATAGGTAATGTTCTTTTTTTTGTTCTTATTAATGAAACCAACTTGTTATTTATGTTCATATTTAGGTAATATGACCGGCTATTACCTGTTTTTGCCCGTTTTAACCGGTTGCATCAATTTTACTCAGTTAAAGCTAATTACGTGGATTCTTACGTGGCCATTACTCCCCTTTCTCATTTAATTAGGGTTCAATACGTTCAATTTCACCATAATCACCTCCCGATTTTAGATTCGATTCACCAAATTGAAGATTAGAGTTTGGAGTTGAAGTTAC